GTCCACAGAACAGGTAGATGGAGAGATAGGTAGAAGGTTAAACAGAGTGCAAAACGTAGACCATTAAACAGAACAGGTAGATGGAGAGATAGGTAGATATATAGCCAGTTAAAATAGGTAAACATATAATGAAGCCGACAGATAGATAGGTACATATACAGGTAAATGGATAAATTAAGGTGTCATATAGAACTTTTCTTGAGTATGATACATTAATTATCGAACGACCCTTTACGACTAACTACCCTCAACCACCCTTTAGTTTTGGGGTCAATACTCATTAACTATCAAACTATTGTTCGAGTAGTTATCTTTAATTGGCTTCAGTTACTTGTAAGACAATCATCAAACAACACCAAAAGTCTAATTATCGATTCGTAAACTATTGAACAACCTTAAGACAAACTACCCTCAACTACCATTTGCATCTTAGGCAACGCTTATTAACTATCGAACGACCATATTGCTAAATTAAACTTAACTACCATTAATCCATTACCTAAACCATCACCAACAAGTTAACAACCAAACAAAACAAGCCCTAACTACTTAGACTAGTAGTTAACCTCTCTCGTTCCATCATCACTTAACGACCTTCACGACCTAACTAGCCCCTCTCATCCACCTCCCGTCCCTCCTCCCCCCTCCATCATTGCCTAACGACTCACACGACCTAACTAGTCCCTCTCGTCCCCTCTCTCTTTCCCTTCAGTGTCTTGGGTTACGATCTCTTGCTTCCGAAATTCCGGATTAACGATGACTCCTTAAACGCCTGAAGGATAATTTAGTCCGCTCTAATCGTTGATTGAAGTCGACGTTATCTGACGGAGAAAGGGCTGGGCAGATTGATGGGTCCTCTGTGTGTGCACGCGCGTGCGTGTGTGTGTGTGTGTGTGTGTGTGTGTGTGTATGTGTGTGTGTGTGTGTGCGCGCGCTCGTATCTGTGTGTGTGTCAGTTAACATGTAAGCTTGTGGCAACACTTTACGGTAAGAGATACTGTAGCGTCAAACAGAGGTGATAAAGGTACATACATACAGACGTGTGCTTATTTAGACAGTACCAGGATATGCTGTGTCAACACTCTACACCGACAGACAGTGTAGTGTAGTGTAGTGTAGTGTAGTGTAGTGCAGTGTAGTGCAGTGTAGTGTAGTGCAGTGCAGTGCAGTGTAGTGTCAACATCCTGCACCCATAACAAATCTGTGTCAAAATCGTTTCATAAAAAAGACAAGAAGGTTTTGTACCTGGCCAGGCTCGGCTGCAGGGGGCAGGTAACTTACACTCTCCCTCCACATTGCAGGGAGAGTCCAAGTTGCTCATTTTCTCCTTGGCTGGGGAACTGCACGCGCCGTAAACAACCCCAGGGTCTCTCCTATGGCCCAAGTTTGCAGCAGAGTCAACCATTCCGACTCCCCGGCATGGCCCCTGAGCGACCCCCGGACCCGTAACACGTATGAACCACAACCACTTCAGAAGGCCTCGAGTAAATAAAGCGGAGCCCCACAGGTATCTTGGTCGAGGGACAACTGTCGTTCGCTGAGTAATGGCAGGAGACCTGGCCGATAGTTTGGTGGGAACTTGGGGATAGTTTGGAGCCAACTACGTATTCATGGACACCCAAGGCAAACCATTCGGGTTAAATTGGTCATCTTTAGAGGCCAATTCTCCTCCCACTTTCTCCCCCTCCCCCCCCACACCAAACGAAATTTCCGAGAGTGTTCCTTAAGCCAAAGTGTTGGGGAAGCGATTTCCGAAACTAAAGTCGAGCATTACTCCGGGAGATCTTTGGTGTGGGTCTTAAAGGCCGGCACCTGAGGTCAAAGTGCCTCTCCTCCTCTGCCAAAACCAAATGATGGTAAATTTTTTTTCCAGTATTGCTCAGTGATGTTTCCTGGGACTCTCTTTCTCTTAAGTCTTCATACCATCAGCCTTTTTTTCCCCCAGTTCTTGTCAGGAGTCTCTACTTTCTTCCCACCATAACAGTGCCCACACGAGCAATAAACAACGCCTTATGCCTCACCTTTCCCTCTGCCCCCCCCAACCCTCGCTTCCAATCTCGCAATAACACGTTCGTCTCAGATTCGCCAGACAAATATTCGTTCGCTGGTGTATGATAAGAGACCCAACAGCTAGACGTATCTTTCTCACCTCTTACAAAATTGATCCACCAATCATTCCATAATCTCGTTCTTTATCTTATATACATCTAACACTATACATTATCATATCTTTTCTTTATTTCTCTCTCCTTTTTTCTTCTTGTTCTTACTCTTTTCCTTACGACATACATGAAGACGTTTGTGTGTGTTTAAAATCCTCTGTTAAAGTATAAAGATCTAGATACGATGAACCAAGACAAGGTTCTCAAAAGTTCCTACATGAAATTGTCTCCTCTTAACGGGATACATAAACAATTCATCTCTAAATGATTTTCTTAAACACCAACACAAACAATATCTGTCATGGCGTCAAAACTTCCCTGAGACTATAAATAAAGCCACCATTCTCTCACTCCTTCACCCTCAAGACAAAACATAAATTACGAATCACTGAGAATAGTAACTTAGGAACTTAATTACTTGAAACTGATACTGAAAATTTTAAATTAAACAAGAAATATTAGAAGAAAAAAATAGTGTAAAGTATCATAAAATTATAAAATAGTTTGAGCCTCTTGAGAGTATTTTTAGGGCAAGTCTGGAGGAACTAATGTTGTAATTTTAGAAGTTCATCATTTGGTTAATTACATTATTAGTAGTACAGTAGTAGTGGTGTTGGTAGGAGGCAAACACACATAGTAGTAGTAGTAGTAGTAGTAGTAGTAGCAGCCATCAATACTCCTTAACTCTCTCTCTCTCTCTCTCTCTCTCTCTCTCTCTCTCTCTCTCACGTTATCTTTTATCTGTATTATGTTCTTCCTTCTCCTCTACTTCTCTCTTCGTTAATTATTTCACCACCTCTTCTTCCTCTTCCTCCTTATTCCTCTATCATCTCCTCCTCCTCTTCCTCTTCTTCGTTATTCGTCTATCATCTCCTCCTCCTCTTCCTCTTCTTCGTTATTCGTCTATCATCTCACCTCCTCTTCCTCTTTCTTCGTTTATCATCTTAACTTCTCCTCTTCCTCTTCTTTTTCTCTTTTATTGCTTTTGGTGGTTTAAGAGGCACAAGTCTTCACACACGAGAGATACTATCATGGGTAATGGGTCTCTCTCTCTCTCTCTCTCTCTCTCTCTCTCTCTCTCTCTCCTAACTACAACTAACATGTTACTCTCATCCGCGGTTGTTTGTTATTCCTTTGTTATCTTTTATTTCTTTCTTTCTGTCGCTTCCCCAGGTCCAACGTGGGGGGGTGAGATGGGGGGAAGAGAGGAGGGTGGAGGTGAGACAGAGAGGGGGGGGGAGGTGGGACAGGTGTTCGAGACAGAGGGTATGAAGAAGGTAGCGAGAAGGGATGAGGTAGGAGGGGAAGGGTGGGGGGGTAGCTGGGGTGGGGAGAGTCAAGTCCATCTCAGACTCCATAACCCAAGGATGACAGGCCTCCTGACCAAATGAGTTCCCCTTTGTGATAATTGTCTCGATAAGACTACCTGGCTACTGATAACCCAGTGGAAGCTGCTAAGTTGTGCTCAGGGGAGGATTTTACGTTTTAGAGAGAGAGAGAGAGAGAGAGAAAGAGAGAGAGAGAGAGAGAGAGAGAGAGAGAGAGAGAGAGATTCTGTTTATCTCTCTTTTATGTTCTTGTTTTTTGTTTTTTTTGCTTGTTTATTCTGTTTTTGTATAAATGTTCCATAATTCTGGGAGACGAGAAGAAAAAGAAGGTATTTTTGTTGTTGTTGTTATACATATTATCATTAATACACAACTCCCCCACACACACACGGTCATAACCATATGCTCAAGGCCCACACACCCACGCCCACTCCATACACTCCACGCCCACCCATAGCACCCACGCCCCCCACTGACGCCCCCCACACACACACACACACCCACACCCACACGCACACAACACACACACACACACACACACTCCCCTCGTACCTTGCCATCATTTATTACCAGATAAGCAATGAAAGGCAGCTTGGCACACTGTTGATGGACGATTAATATTACGTTTTAGGGCGAAAATCCGGCACATTAAACCCCTAACGAGCGATCATAGGTGCCAGCAAAAGATTTTCAGAGGGGGGAGGGCTAAGGGGGAGGGAGAGAGGAAAGGGGAGGAGGGGGAGGGAGAGAGGGGGGGCAGGGGAGGGGGAAGGAGGCGGAGAGGGGGAACTAATTTGACGTAAGGGAATTTTTCTTCTGGTATTAATATATCTCTCCGATATTTTAGACGTGTTTTGAGGCGGTGGTCTGATAGATGGTTGATGGCCGGCAGTGTTTTTGCGGGTAAGTGGTTGATAGATAGACGGATTGTTGTTGGTGGTATGTAAGTTTTGTGAGGGGTGTTGATGACTGTGTGTGTGTGTGTGTCAGTGTGTGTGTGTGTGTGTGTGTGTGTGTGAGGGTGTTGATATTGTGTGTGTGTGTGTGTGTTGGGGGGCTGGGTAGAAGTTGTGTAGTGGAAAGAGAAAGGAGAGAGAATAATAGAGGAAAATAAAGAGACAGCCTGACAGATAGAGATATGAAAGAGAGAGAGAGAGAGAGAGAGAGAGAGAGAGAGAGAGAGAGAGTAAAATCTCGAGTGAAAACAACACAAAGTGAAAAAACCATAATAAAACTGAACTCATATTGTCATTACTACCTTCATTAACTCTCTAACTTATTATTCTACCACCACCATCTTCCTGAGTACAATAAACCATAACAACTTCCTAAACAAACATTACATTAAAAAAAAACATTTAAGAATCCGTAAACATTCATTCTATTTTAAGCAACTACCATGTTTTCCCTTTGATCTAGTTATCTAACCTAACCTAACATAACCTAACCTAACCTAACCTCACCTCACCTCACCTCACCTCACCTCCCCCCTGGGATAGACATGTAGAAGATGGATATTCGTGTGATTGTAAGTTATTGTTTTTTAAGCATTGGGAACTAGACGAGAGTAAACATTGTTGAAGTTGAGTGATAATTACCTTACTGGAAGCTGTTGAGAAGGTGTATAGGATAGTGTAAATATATATATACGTTATGGAATGAAATGAAAAATTGGGAAAAAATGGGAAAAAATTGGGAAATAATGGGAAAAAATTGGGAAAATATTATCACCTTTGCTTTTAAATGATAAGGAAAAATTAACTAGAAAATCACCAGTGTCACACATTACCAGTGTCCACCCATCACCAGTGTCCACCCATCACCAGTGTCCACCCATCACCAGTGTCCCCCATCTCCAGTGTCCCCCATCTCCAGTGTCCACCCATCACCAGTGTCCACCCATCACCAGTGTCCACCCATCACCAGTGTCCACCCATCACCAGTGTCCACCCATCACCAGTGTCCACCCATCAGTGTCCACCCATCTCTGCGTCCACCCATCACCAGTGTCCACCCATCACTAGTGTCCACCCATCACCAGTGTCCACCCATCACCAGTGTCCACCCATCACCAGTGCGTCCACCCATCACCAGTGTCCACCATCAACAGTGTCCACCCATCACCAGTGTCCACCCATCACCAGTGTCCACCCATCACCAGTGTCCACCCATCACCAGTGTCCACCCATCACCAGTGTCCACCCATCACCGTGACAAACCGTGTTGACATCTCGGTTTACTGCTGTCTTCTCTGTCCATCAGGCCACAGAATGCTCGAATAAAACTGTAGCTTTGTGGGAGTTTGTGGGAGGTTTGTGGGAGGTTTGTGGGAGTTTGTGGGAGGTTTGTGGGAGGTTTGTGGGAGCTAGTTGGGGATTGTGGGAAAGAGGTTGTGGGTTTGTGAGAGTTTGTGGGAGTTTTGTGGGGAATTGTGGGAAGTTTGTGGGGGGTTTGTGGGAGCTAGTGGTGGGATTGTGGGAAAGAGGTTGTGGGCTTGTGAGAGTTTGTGGGGGTTTATGAGATCGTTTTAGGTTTTGTGTGTTACGAATCCCTTGTACTTTCATCAGTATTTCTCTCTCTTTCTCTTTCTCTCTTCTCTCGCGCCTCCGTTCTCTCTCTCTCTATCTCTCTCTCTCTCTCTCTCTCTCTCTTGACTACGTAACCAAAGTCTCGGGACAATGACTAAGAATAACCAATCAAAGTGAACAACCCATCAGCTGGAACGAGTCATTAGGGACACCCTAATTAAATCAAACAGAGCTCCTGATGTTCTCTCAACTATTTCTCATCCCTCAAGAACCCCATGGATTCAGTGTGTTTGTTTGTTCTGTTTATTATTTCAAATGCATTTTAGGTTGACACGTAAATGCTTTTGGGTGTTTGAAATATTTAAGGAGGAGGGTGAGGGGAAGGAGAGGTGATGAGGGGGAAGGAGAGGGTGAGGAGAAGGGGAGGGTGAGGGAAGGAGAATTGTTTTTGAATTGAAGTTAAACGTATTCAGGTGTTGTTGTTGTTTGACGGGATTTAGGTAAAAGATATTTGGAGAGAGAGAGAGAGAGAGAGAGAGAGAGAGAGAGAGAGAAGCCGTGACACAATGGTACAGTGAGAGATAAATTTCTGGGTCGCCATAGAAAACAAAAGTGACAGACAGACAGAGAGACAGACAGACAGAGAGACAGACAGACAGACAGTTTAACGATCCAGTAAACAGAGATAGTTTGACAGACAGACAGAGACAGACAGACAGATTCATACCATCACACACACGAGTATATAAAGAATCCCCCCCGTTCACACAAGCCAGGTGTAAAGGTTAACTGCAATTGGACATACACGTTGTCAAGGTATAACAATGGTCAATTAACTTAAAACACGCTGCCCTGATGTTTCACTTGTGTTAGGTTAGGTTAGGTTAGGTTAGGCTAGGCTAGGTTAGGTTAGGTTAGGTTAGGTTAGGTTAGGTTAGGTTAGGTTAGGTTAGGTTAGGTTAGGTTAGGTTAGGTTAGGTTAGGTTACTCGACACCTCTATCGTGTATGGTATTAAAGACTATTGAATGTGTTTCTTGTTTTTGTAGGTGAGGTTGTCGTTGTTTGGGTTGATTTTTTTGTGTTTTGATTTGTTTTGTTTTGAGGAGAGATGTGAAGAGTGGTGTAATTGTTTATTTATTTAGTATATATGCTGGTGATGTCTCTTAACAATTTTATAAACATCACTATCACCACCATCATCACCACCACCATCACCACCACCATCACCACCATCACCACTACCATCATCACCACCACCATCATCACCACCATCACCACTACCATCACCATCACCACTACCAACACCACTACCAACACCTGCAGTCATAAAGAAGAGAGAACACGCCCCTGGGACCAGCCAATTGAGGGAGCAATTTGTCTCAAGGCAATCAGGGAGTTCAAGTTACACACGATTGGATATTTGACCCTGTGTTGAAAGACTAGCAGGGTATGACAAGGTCTGGCAGGAGTTGACAGGGTATAACATGGTCTGACAAGGGTTGACAGGGTATATAACAGGGTATGCCAAGAGATGAAAGGGTCTAGCAAGGGATGACAAGGATTGACAGGGTCTAGCAAGGGTTGACAGTGTATGACAGGGTTTATCTGACAAATATTAACATGGTATAACCAGCAGTAAAGTACCATCGACATAACACCATCAGCAGCAGAAGTAGTTGGTGTGATCCCGTAAGATAAGGGGCGTGCTTGTCTCCTCCCCGTGAGTAAGATGATCCATCACGCCCTCTGTCCTTCCCGTCGTGAGCGGTTCAGAGGTCCCACACACACACACACACACACACACACACACACACTGTAATTAGCGTCAACTCACCTGTGAAATACAGCATTACGAGTACTGGTTCCTATGAGTGAGGTGAAGAGGGGGTGGGTTGCTGTTTGTGTGTGTGTGTGTGTGTGTGTGGAGGATTGTGGGTGTGTATGGGTGGTATGGTGTTTGTGTGAGGGAGTGTGGGTGGACAAGGGTGGGTTGATGTTTGTAGAGGCTTGTGGGTGTGCGTGTGTGAAGGAGTGTGGGTGCATAAGAGTGGGTTGGTGCTTATGTGGTGGATTAACAAGATTTAAAAACAATCGAATAATTCCCAATTCTTTTATTTTTTTTCTATACCCCTTAGCATCACCGCCCACTCGATCATAAATTCATATTCATCCAACATCTGAGCCCTTGGCAACTCCTAATCTGATTGGCTAATCTCTTTGACCCTCACAGTTTTATGGTAAGTCTTAGGGATACCAACCAGCAGCCTCTAAAACATAAACATATTCGTCATAACTCAAAGGCGTTCAGTGTACACCATTGACAAGACGATATAATACGATTAAAACCATGAATATATACAGTACAGGTATCTGAATTACGTCCCCAGCCACGTGTATATTAAGATAAGCTGAGGCAAAATAATAATTAACTAACCTCATGTACTTAGAAATAGTATTGATTTATTACAGTAAACACCTACGTAGAAATGGTGACGATAGTTAAGAAAATCTCATTATAACCAATGGCTAAAATTAATTCAACTTAATCACGAGGTAAGCTGAAGGGAGTCACCTGACCTTCTAAATGTTTTGGGGGGAAAATATGGAGGTATGAAAAGTGTAGCTAACTGGAGGAGTGGATGGTAAAAAATGGGATAATGCAACTCACTGCCACGGGGTGTCTTGGTGACGACATATAAGCTCCTAATAGTTCAAAATATTCTGGTTTCTAATATGTTCGATCTTGAGGGAAGGAACGAGTAGGTGAGGAGACGCGAAAACGACACTGATCTAACCTTTCACTTACTCTAATTGGGGATGATGATGATGATGGTGATGATGATGATGATGATGATGATGATGATGATGACGATGATGATGATGATGATGGTGATGATGATGAAAGTGAATAATGTTTAACCCGATAGACGTCTTCCGTTCACCAGAGAAAGAGAGAGAAAACTTCCTTCTTATCCTACTTAGTTCCCCCTGTCCCTTATGAATCGAAGTGTCAAATGTTCGGTAATAAAATGTTTCTCTTAAATCTTCAGGTTAAGAACACAGCGATCCCGTGTACTCAATTAGTCAACAGCAAAAGTGATAAGTGGTGAAATAATATTGATAATTTAACTTTTTTTCATGACATCATTTATACCCGAAGAAACTGAGAGGATACCACGCTCAGTTTCTATTCTAAAGGCAGTTGATTCGATTCTAGTTTATCCCGAGTATATCCAACTGTAATTGTAAACCTCAATTTACAGCTGGGGCGTGAAGATGGTCTTATGCAGTGCCGACCATTCTGTATACGGAAGACTTAGGCCATAATGTGTTATATCGACTCTACCACTTCCACCTTTAACTTATATCCAACGAAAGACAAAAACTATTACTCCCAACGATACCTTTACCAACCATCTACTTTATCATAACTTCTAGTGATTAAATTTCATCGTAACTAGAGACTTATGAATGCACTTAACTCTATAACTTTCGCTAAAACACACATCCGCAAAAATACACCAAGATTACACTGTAACTGTACCTGAACTACATACTGTACGGTCACATAACACCGGCTAAGGAGAAAATAATTACACAGTGACTTTACCTAAGCTAAAGACGTTCGTAGAGCAACAACAAGCGAGGAAATGCAGTAGTAAAATCTAAGGTTTTTCTTTGGGTAGGGAGGGGGGAAGTGTGTTGGGTCAGGAACCTGGGTACTTAACACGTTCATACTGAGGTAAAACAAGGAGGGGGGGGGAGGTGAGGGAGGGGGAGGAGGGTATAGTTACGAGGTTAATCTAGCTTTACACACACGAATAAACAGGAAGGGGAGGAAAAATGGCAGGGAGGAATTCACAGTAAGGGAAAAATAGGGAGAGAGGGATACACAAGGAAGGGAAAAAGGGAGGGAAGGAAGGAAGGAATCACGAGGAGGAAAAACAAGGAGGGGGGATTTATAGAGAAGGAAGAAGGGAAGGAAAGGAAACAGAAGGAGGGAACAACATAGGATAAACAAACAAGGTGGAATTAACGAAAGAAAAATCAGTGACAAACAAGAAACACAAACAAAGAGAAACTAAAAGGAATATACAAACAAGAAAGAACAAAACCAAAAAAAACGAAAGAATAACAAATAAAAGAGAAAAACAAACATGGAAAAAACAAGGAAGAACCTAACAAACAAGAATAAACAAACAATAGAAAAAACTAACACAGACAAGTAAAAAGCAAAAAAATGAAAAGGGGCAAAACAAAGGAATAACAACAACATAAAAGGCAAAACAAACGGGGAATGACAGCGAATAACAGGGACATGACATGACAGCTGACACACGAGGGGGTATTCATTGAGCTGTAGTTCCTCTTGTTTCGCTTCGTGTCTCCCCTAAGTCGATAATATTTTCCCTCTTGATATTATAAACACGTATCTAAAGACCTTAAGTTCAACCCTGAGATTAGAAGTGTAAAATGGCGTCATAATTACACTGAGACAATACCTAAAATGCCGTGGGGGAGATGGGAGAAGAGGCACAGTTGGATATATTCACAGAGGCGTTATGTTTCGTCCTGTCCTGTCCCGTTCTGCTATGTCCTGTCTTCTCCTGTCTCACCCTATCCTTTCCCTCCCTGCCCCGTCCCCTGCCGTCCCTTCCCGTCCCTCCCATCTCGTCTCATCCCGCTGCCAAAGAATTA